AAATATTAACAATTACAAACATCATAAGTTACCAAAATCTAATATGGTCCTATCACCTTCATTAGTAGCTTCAAAATCATAGGCATCATAAATACTTGTAAAAGATTCCATCTCTCTACCAACATGTCTATTTAAATCACCTCCAATAAAAACTCCTTTTTCAAGATATATATTTTGTATTAATTTTTTAAGTTATTTCAAAATTTTAATTTTAAGTACGTATCCAAATCTACTTGATGAGCATAAACACTTATAATATTAATAACGTTAGCAACAATAATCTTTATAACTATAATTCTATATCAAATTCTATTAATTTCTATAACATTGTCCTTCAGACTATTATCTATAATCATATCTACATTATTTTTAGTATGACTCCTATATTAATACCATAGTTTAAATCCTAATCTATTAATCTCTTTAATCTTCTCTCCAACCCATTTAGTTTTCTGAATACATAGAATATTTATTTCCCTATGAGTCATAATATATATTTATTCCATTAATTTGCATGTAAGAGAATCTATATTTCAAATTCCTTTCTTAATTCTAGTTTCATGGACTAGCTTTTATGCCCATATATGTCCTTGATATGTGAATCCTTGCTTATTTAACATTATACTTGAGCTTTAGTTCAACAACCCTTATACACTTCTTGTTATATTTAGTACATACAATGCGTCGCTTCCAGTGAATGTCCTAGTATTAATATAATTTATTAAAGAATTCATGTCATGATTATTCGACAAGTTTTATACTAGCTATAAACTGTTTAACACAACCTCCACTTTTCTCATTCAGAGTTTAGGACCTAACTACGACAATGTTTTTTAAGAAGGGTGCAGCATAAGGGCTTCATAGGAGGTCACCTATTTTAGTATTATTCTTGACCAAACACATTTAACTGCGAATTTATGATGGGATCCGATGCACTGGTGTTGGTATGGTTGCAACCGAATTACTAGACATTAATTTAAAATTTACATTACACACAAGCTTGTATAAAATCAATGGCAGAGAAACATTATCGTGATGTTTATTTTGCAGAAGACGACCTTGTCATGCATAGGTTAAGGTCATACCAACAATATGCTCGAACCAAAAATTAGCTAAGAATTTCTATGGATTTTTCACTCATGTACGTATATCTTATACCTATATTGGCCAACCAACAACAAACCTCACTTTATCTCTCTTTCTTTAGTTATCTCTCATCCCATCTCTATCAAGCTCTCTCTATCTCTTTTCCCTCTGTCTAAAAATGACAAGTAGAGAAATAAAGAAAAAAGTGAGGAAAAGGAAAATTTACGCATTTTCACGCATCACAAAATCTTATCATTTTGACGTCATGGAGCACCTCGATCTATTGCGTGTTTTTTAAGAGTGGAGCCCCATACATGTTTTAAGCGTGGTGAGATGGTCTAAATTCTCTATAGATGACTCATATGTGGGAGAGACGTTGAAAGGTTACTAAAATTCAGACTAATTGAAATAAATAATAATTATAAGGATCACGTTTTGAACAAAAAGCAACTAAAATGAAAATAATGCTTTCAAACTTATACTAAGAAATAAAAAATACCAAAAATGGCATGCAAGTTGCATTAAAATTATTAAAATGTTGAACAATTCATTGAACACACAGAACTTATAGGCGACTTGAAAGCTCACTATGAGTGTGAATGGTACCTCCACACAACGCCTAACAGTACAAAAACTCTATGAGTTGTGGATAGCATGTGAAAATGAGCTACGAGGTGCTCCTATTTCAAGGAGAAATGATTTCCCATGAGACTCATCTTGCAAAATCATATTCACATGAAGGTAAAACTGAGACATTTTAAAAATGTGATAAGTTTCTAGCTCGTAACAATCATCAACAAATTTGTAAGATGTACACACAAGAAGATATAAGGTATTTTTTAAGAATTCAAAATGAAATATTGCACGTATCTTAACGATAGATGCTTGTGCAACTAATAAAGTTAATTTCAAGTGTTGGATGTCTCACGAGATAATTTTCAAATTCAATTACCATGTCTCAATAATCATGCAAGCAGATCCAAAATCGTGTAAATTTGCATATGCATCATGTAAATTTGTTGAAAACATGCAAGTGCATTACACAAATGTATTAAAAGTAAACTAAAAGGATGTAAAACACTTGTGACATTAAAGTACATGCAAGTGCAAAGTGCAAATGCATAGAAACCATGCATAGTGTATTGTAAATTATAAAAATGCACTGTAAGACATGCATGCCATCCAAAGGAAAAATCACTTCATCAAAATTAGTTTATTTGTATGTGCTCCATAAAAGTGCTAATCATCTAAACTTAAGTCTTAGAATACTACGTAAACTAAAAGCAAAAACAAATTTAAATTCCCCCTTCCCCTGAAATACATGTAGAGATTTTAAAGGACATGCAATTATTTTGAAATTTGAATTGTTAAATAAAATTTGAACTCAAGTTTGACATATGCACATGCCATCAAACGGATCGCCCTACCTATAGGCAGGGTCATAAGTCTTTTGATCTTCTATATCATAAAGATTGAAGTTAACAAAATTTGAACCTCGATAATAACTATGTTAACTGAGAATCTTGATGAGAGGGAATCTTTGTCATGAAAAAGCTTCCAAATTTCAAAGTTAATCATTTAGAGCTTAAATTCTAATAAAAATATAAAAAATAAAATCCAATGCTTAAAAATTTCAAAAATACTTCTAGTAGTAAATCTATTACTCTATAATTGTCAAATCAATAATCCATCTACCTTCTACAATAATTTGTCAATGGTGATAAATTTAAGATAACCTAAGCTTGTAAAATGACCAAATGCCATTTCAAGATAGATTATTACGTACGGACGCCGAATGTGTTCGGAGGCCAATTAGCAGCCGCCACATCACGTAATGCACTGTGCATTGGGTGAGTGGAGGCTCCTGATTGACATCCGGACGTGTTCGACATCTGCACGTAATAAATTTTCCCATATCAAACTATATGATCACACTCAAAAGATCTCTCGCTAGTAAGAATATTTCATATATACTCTAACTTGGTGGTTTTACCGTCAATTGACAATATTAAATAATGATTATGATTGGGTGGTTTTATCATAAAATAACATTACTTTGTTAAGTTATGACCATATGGTAGATGTTCTCCAATAGCTCCAATTGTTGAGTTGTGAGTCATAGGGTGCAATTGATTGGGCACAAACATTTTTATTAGCTAAAGTCAACTTAAAATTGTCTCTTAGACAAACATTCACTTTAGGTCTACAAGGTTTCGTTGGACGACGCAATTTATGATTGTTGACAAAGATCAATTGGTCAGATTGGGTTGATTATTTTTGTTGACTATGTGGAATAGGGTCCACAACAACTTGAGATGATAGAAACATTAGATATTGATTGGGTTCTTCATCATTTCTCCAACCATCCATTTGAAGCTAACTGGTAGTAAATCTCTCAATTTTAAAGCTAAAATTGCTACCATTTTATGCTAAGCGCATAGCAATAAGTCACCTTTCAAATTTAATTTATATCCTTAAAACCATTATATATTGTCTCCTCTTTTTGTAAAAACCCCAAAAGGAGTCAGAGGATGTCCTATGGGAGGAAAATACCTTCTAAAAGTTTGAGTGTCATGCTCACAAGTTTGAGTGTCATGCTAAGCACATATGCACCAACTGAAAAACATAGCCAAATTAGCATTTCGATTCAAGTCAAGAACCATGCAAGGACATCAAATTTCATATTAAAACAAGTAGATTAAGTTTCGTGACCACACCTCAAACATCAATGGTATACTTTGTTTCAATTACATTCTTCTGCTTGAGGTCTATGATGTTCACTCATAATTTGGGTTGATTACATGTTACTAATGATTTATCAGGGCAAAATTTGCAGGTCTACTTCTATGCCTTTTACTGATTTTTAACACATTAATTTTGTATTAAAACATATTTTTATGCTAATCAAGCTCTTTTTCTTTGATTTGCTAGAAGTATGCAATTATCTAGGCTTATTTGCAAACTAAACTTCTGATCATCTTGCATGAACCAAAGCATAGTACACTTGTTATTATTAATGACGGAGCTTGTTTGCCTCCTGTAACAGGAGCTGGGCCCTCCAGGATTGGTCTAACACATTCCTTCATAACAAATCTTAAGGGTCCCTTTTCATAGAAAAATATACTAGAAACAATTACATAATTAGATCAACTAATAAAGCTAAAAAATGGTCATTAATCTTGTTATACATAACATGTGTTTCTTGATTATACAGTTGCCATCAGGTTCCTGGATGACCTTTGCTGAAGATTCTCATTTAACAGGTTGATCTAGCCAGGCTTAGTTTATAAATTTCTCTGCTACAATAGAAGAAAATAGTCACCAAATTATGAAACCACAAAGAAAATAGGAAGCATTAGGAAAAGCTATAACTAAAGATGAAACAGAAAATGCGGATACATTTCCCTGTTTCAACATTCACGTTATTCCAACTTCTGCAACATGGTTTTCCTTCATCCTCTTCTACAAAACAAACTAATGTTTGTTCTTTAGATGTAGCTATCCAGGCGGGTTTTAATTTATCCTTTTGAATGTTGGAGGTAAAGGCTACTAGGATGCCATTCTATGCTCTTTTAGATTGGTAGAGGGTTTTAATCCTACTGCCTTTCATTAGAATTAAAACCGATAGTATTGGTCCCGAGAATACTTTTTATGATATTTCAGCAATGTCCTCTTTATGTGATAGACCGTGTAAGCGTTTTCTATGTCTTTATACTTGATGATAGTGATTGTAGCGATAAATAAAACCTTTTTATCTGCCTGGAGATGTTGAATTCCAAAACGATGAGGGTAGAATTCATTCTTCCCCTTGAATAACATTATTTCAGGATGGATAACTATTTTTCATCATTTTGGTATTATAATTATATTATTACCCCATGTATTATGTACCAAATACAATTATGTTTTGCCAGGTTGATTATGCATGCACTCCTGAAGAGGTGCAGCAGCATTTCCAGTCTTGTGGGACCGTTAACAGAGTAACAATTTTAACAGACAAGTTTGGCCAGCCGAAGGGGTTTGCTTATGTCGAATTTGTCGAAGTAGAGGCTGTTCAAAACGCTCTTCTCTTAAATGAATCCGAATTGCATAGTCGTCAATTAAAGGTTAGATAAAAGTTCAATTTGGTTAATGTAGTATGCATATGTCTGAAATGTGTGCATGTGTTTTAATAAAAAATAAATGGCAGGTATCAGCTAAGAGGACAAATATTCCAGGGCTGAAGCAATACCGTGGCAGGCGGCCCAATGCTTACATGGCTTTTCGATCAAGAAGAACTCTTATGCCTTCACCATATTTTGCTCCATATGGATATGGGTAAAACTTTTCCCATTCTCTTTTATTTTCTAAATGATTTCTTTGGATTTTGATAGGAAGTGCTTGCATAAATTTTGGAAAAATCTTGGCTGAAATTTGATTTTAGTAATTTCAGAAAACCAACGACAAAAAAATCATGAATAAAACACATGAACACTTTTTTACTGAAAGTTTTATGAAAGAAATGACAAGATACAAGTGAATCTTCAATTGGAGAGGAAGATTCGGCTCTCTCAAATCTCTTGCCGCCGGCTAGAGCCCAAATACCTTAAGAATAATCTAATTTCAGCAAACAATACCCATGCCTAAACCTAGGAAAATCACCAATTTAAAGCAAACAATAAACAATAATACCCAAACCATTGTTTAAAATTACACAATATGAGGCTTTCCTTGAGGCCAGCCTCAGTACAATTTTAGTGAAAAATGCCTCGAGGCTTACGCCTCGAGCTTTTTTTATGAGGCTTACGCCCGCCTTGATGCGCGCCTCATCTCGCTGGCATGAGGCATACGTCTCGCTTTATTTATGTATGTTTTTTGTTCAAAACTTTTCTAAATCCTATATAAAAGACTCAAAAAAATCATGCCCTCTTGCACTCCAAAGCCGCAACAACTTCCTCTCAATTGCCTTGACCTTTAGCCCACCGCCTTTGCCGTAGCCACCATTGTCGTAGCTGTCGCTAGGGATCACTTGAAATCTGCACACAACCACCTTTTTAGGTTGTCAATTTTGGGTCACAGGTCGGGTTCGGGTCGAACTCGGAACTGACCTGACACTATTCGGGTCAATCCTAACTCAACCCGTTTTTGCAGACGGGTCAATTTTTCAGACTTGAACTTGACCCGCTTCGGGTCCGAGTTAACCTGAATGACCTTGGGCCGACCAAAAATTTCTTGTTTTCGGGTAATAAACATGTTAATTTCTGATTTTCGGGTAAAAATGGGTCAATTTTGGACTTTCGGGTCAAAAATAGGATTTCTAGTCAAACCGGATCAATTTCGAGTTTCCAGGTCCAATGTTTAAAATTGCGTAATCGGGAATTGAGGCGTTTATCGTTCGTGAGGCGAGGCGTAAGCCTCAAAATCAAAAGATTGCGTAAACATAAAATGATAAATTTTTATATACTAACAACTAAATAATATATAAAACATAAAAATGCACAAGATATGAAGTGAAATCAAAATATCTTAATAATAAGACAACATGAAATATTGTTCAACTCAAACTCTTATCTTTCCCAAATCACAATATTCTGTTCATTAACATATAATTTAAAAATAAATAGCAATAATATCACATAAGAACTGATAAGTCATCAGCATTGTCATCACTAATGGTGTCTTCAGTTGAATCATCATTATGATGAGCTGCTCTCTCCCCTTCCTCCTCTTCTATAGAGTCTAATGTCTCCCAATCAACTCCTTCCTCAATATCAGTTATCTTACTCTTCCGTAAATATTTTAAACAATATCAAAATGAATAATAGTGTAATATATTAATAAAGTCTAAGAAAACTATATTATTTATATACCTTTTTTGATTTATTCTTGAGTTGTGGTGGATGTAGATGCTTTAATACCATCAAAGAAATCAACATTTAAATCTTCATCTTATTATGCATGCCTAAACCACATGCCCACATAAACATAAGTCTAGCAAAAAGAGATCTAAATATTACATAAATAAAAAAGTCATATCATTTTTATTTTCATTTTCTTACATTATCTATGGCAACCATTCAATCAAATGACATTGAAAATTATATGCAATTTTTTTTATATCATGGAAGGGAAGCAAAACATTCTTTGTGCATAACTTACATTCATATTACATGTAGTACACCTCTTCCATTAAAATTTTTGGCATTAATTTATACACATATCTATTGAGCATATGCAATGTTTAAAATTGCGTATTCGGGTATTAAGGCGTTTTTCATTCGTGAGACGAGGCGTAAGCCTCAAAATAAAAAAATTTCGTAAACATAAAATGATAAATTTTTTATATACTAATGAGTGAATAATATAAAACATAAAAAAGCATAAGATATTAAGCGAAATCAAAATATCCCAATAATAAGATAACATAAAATATAGTGCAACTCAAAATTCTATCTTTCCCAAATCCCAGTATTCTTTTCATTAACATATAATTCGAATTTTCAAAAATAAATAGCAATGACATATCACATAAGAACTCATAAGTCATCAGCACTGTCATCACTAAGGGGTTCTTCATTTGAATCATCATTATGATGAACTTCTCTCTCCCCTTCCTCCTCTCCTATAGAGTCCAATGTTGGGCATTTACTTCAAGATTTATATAAGTTTTAATATATATAGCGTGAGGCGTAAGCCTCATGCCAATGAGGCGAGGCGGGCCTCAACCAAGTTAAGGCTCATGGCTCATAAAAAAACTTGAGGCGTAAGCATCGAGGCATTTTTTACTGGAATTGCACAAAGGCGGGCCTCAAGGCGAGCCTCATATTGCGCAATTTTAAACCATGAGCATATGCATGCCTAAACCACATGTTCACATAAACATAAGTCTAACAAAAAGAGATCTAAATAGTACATAAATAAAAGTCTTATCATTTTCATTTTCTTACACTATCAATGGCAATCATTCAATCAAATGACATTGAAAATTGTATACAAAAAATTTTTATATCATAGAAGATCAAAACATTCTTTGTGTATAACTTACATTCATATTACATGTAGTATACCTCTCATACTAAATTTTTTAACATTAATTTATACACGTATCTATTGAGCATCTTATACTTTTTATTATGCATGCTTAAACCACATGTCCACATAAACATAAGTCTAACAAAAAAAAATCTAAATATTACATAAATAAAAAGTCCAATCATTTTCATTTTCTTACACTATCAATGGCAATTATTCAATCAAATGACATTGGCAATTGTATGTATAAAACAACAATATTGCATAAAATTTAAAATAGAAAAATAAAAAAAAAAGAAAAATTTTGCCAAAAAATGAATGAAAACCAAAGGAAGATGTCGATAAATGCGATGGTATAACAAAAAAATCACATTTGAGTGCAAAGAAGAAGAGGAAGTAAAGTTATTTCACCTTTGTTAATAAACCCTAAACTCTAACCACGAAGAAGAAGAGCTTTCGGCGGTCGGTCGAAGGAGACTCCAAGCCAACTCGTGGTAGAAGAGAACTCCAAGAAAGAGGCGAAGAGCAACTCCAGGTGGAACGAAGTCGACGTCGGTCGAATGGAACGAAGAGGGGAAAATGTCGCTCGAAGAAGGAGAAGAAACCTCGTTCGGAAATGATGGAAGATGCGAGTGAGGGGGCCAAAACCGAATAGATAAATATTAGATTAGGTTTTAGTTTTTTTTTAAAGAGGCAAATGCCTCTAAAAATTGAGGTGAGGCGTGAGGGGCGCCTTAGTAAATTTGAGGTACGCCTCAGTAAACTTGAGGCCTACGCCTCATTCCCTGCTTTCATTGCGTATGCTTTAAGGCTTAAAATAACATAATTGCACTGAGGCGCACCTCGTATTGCACGTTTATAAACCATGTCCATGTCAACACGAACCCGACCCAGTTTTTGAAATGGGTTGATTTGTTGAATCTGAACCCGACCTGTTTTGGTTCTAGGTTGACCCTAACCCAAAGTTTTTCGGGTCGGGTTCGAGTCGAGTTTTCGAGTCATGTCAAATATTGATACCCCTGACTACCATCACTAAAAATTTTAGTATTACTCTCATTTTATGTTGATAACAAATATTTATGAAAGAGGAAAATATCTGAAATAAATAAATAAAGAAAAAATAGATTAGGAGGTAGTGGACCCTATAGGATGAGGCAAAGGAGAGACTAATTTTTTATGACGACTCAAATAAAATGCCCTTAGTAATGATAATACATATGTTTTTTGAATTGTTGTCAATTATTTTAACTTTCTTTAGTAATTAAATGTAGATGAGTAGGAAACCGATAAAGAAGAAATTTAGAGCTAAACTTGATGTTATATGATACGTTTATGCAATTCATATATTTTATGTTGTTTTTCTCATGTAATATTTGGATTTCATTTTTTTTCACATAATTTATTACTTTTCACTTTACATTTTTTGTAATTTTTGTTTCATATGTATGTAAATTTGTTACTTTATAATTCAATAGAAAATTAATATGTCATCCTTTAACATATTATTTGGATATTATATAAAAATATACTTTTAACTTTTATTTTTAGATTTTTTGGCTTACACCTCAAAACGCCTTGAGGCTTACGCCTCGCCTCATGAACGAAAAACGACTCAATACCCAATCGCGCAATTTTAAACCTTGACCCAAATAGACCTTCCTTAATTCCCTCATATTTCCTTAATTATTTTCCTCCCAAAACAGCTCTCAAATTAGCCCTAAATCTATCATCTTCAATTATGAAATATTTTGTAATTAATCCCCTCCAAATCAATTTTATTCAATCAAAAAATATTTTTTAATCAATCCCCTCCAAATCAGCCCACAAATCTGTCATTTTCAATTAGAAAATATTACCTAATTAATCAGCCAAATTTGCTCTCTTCATATTAAAAACATCTAATTAATTCCCTTTGATTAAAGACTTTCCTAAACAACTTCCTCTTGATTAGGAAACTTCTTAATCCTCACAATCAAATCTGCTGGTCCATCAATACTTCTCTCCCACAGTGCCACAATTTCCTTGAGGTGGAACGAACGAAACTGTCGCTGAAGCACTTGACTAATATCACTGGACTAAAAAATAGACTGATACTATGTCAAACGATCCCTACCTCGAGCATATTTTTGATTAATCTCTGAATCTCTTCGTTCTGGATTTGGGGATGATGGTATAGACGAACACTGATTGTTGGGACTCCTTCATTTAAGATGATAACATACTTGTGTTCCAGCGAAGGATTCAACCCTTGAACTTGCTGGAACACCCCTCGATACTATTATATGGGTGGTAGAATCTTGTTTGGC